TATACAAATAAAACTGAATTGATATCCTGTTTATATCCTCTCTGGTCCCGTCTCCCCCTCCTCTGTAGGAGTGGTCCGGTTTGGACCTGCCTCAGTATGGCCAGGGTACAGGTCTTTTGGCGTGGATGGAGTGCTGCTCTATATCCGACTCCCTGCAGTCCACCATGTTGTCCTGTCTCTCTCTGGACCAGCGCCGGCTGGACCACGTCAACATGTTCAGCAAAGGTCTGTTGGTGGCTCTGACCCAGACCCTGCCCTGGTGCTCCGTCTCCCAGTGGACCCGACTTATGAGAGTATTGAGGGAGCTGATCGCCTCAGGCCGCCTCCACGTTCCCTTCTCGCTCGAGTACGTGGACTATCTGCCCCTTCTGGATCTGAGGAGGTTCTCATGTGACCTCCGCCTGTCTGTCCTCCTGCTTCGAGTCCTTCAGCTGCTCTGTGGGTCCAGCTGCTCCCACTGGCTGTCAGTGGACGGCTGGGCGCACGTTGGCAGGTTATACGCCCTCGCTGTGAGGGAGATGATTAACTCGGTTAGAGCCAAGCTTCCTCTCCATTCATCTGGCGCTTTGACTGCGTCTCCTAAAACACCAGCATCTAAAGACTCCAATCCTGTCTGCACTTCAGTCGCATCTCCTAAAATGTCCAAAGACTCTCTGGAAGACCGTAAACTAGCAGAAGGCTCTCCACTGAAATCAAAAGATTCACACATGGAGGAGGAGGAGGAGGAGGCGACAGCGGCGGCAGCGGCGGCAGTGGCGGCAGTTCCCAGCCAGGAAGTCCTTTTTGTACTCAGCCAGCTCTTCTGCCATGTTCAGCACATCCAGGTATGGACTATTAACACAACCATGGACACTGCTGTAGGTGTTTGTTTACAGTTCTAAATCAATGCACCACTATTGAACTGTAGGTAAAGACAACAAAAAACTACTAGTTGAGAACCACCCAAATATAAGTTGTTGTGTTAGAATGGACTCATGTTTTAATTTGTCTGAATCTGGATTAAAGTGTCAGTGGTTTCATGTCCCTCCCCAGGTGATGATGCCAGGAGGTCAGTGTGAACCGTTGTTCCTGTCCAGTCTGGAGATCCTCAGCCACTACGAGGCCATCATGGCCGCTTTTCCAGACAGCAGCAGCGTGCTGGAGAGCGACAACACCCGACACTTCTTCTCCACCATCACAGACAACCTGGAGAACCAGGAGATGAAGGCTGTACTGCAGCAAAAGATCGCTCAGCTTGTGTCATCAGCAGCTTAACACACCTATTGTCACGTTTTCCACAGGAGAATTCAGAGCACGTTTGCTGATAAAATAGGGACATCTTTTCAGTTTTCAATGTCATATGCTGTACTTATCTAATTTACAGTGATGGGTAAGGACTCTGAATGAATAAAAATCCAATATTTCACAGCAGATGCCTGTTTGTGCTGCCTCAGTAATTTCTACTGTGAAATTTAACTCTGAGAGTTTCTTGAGCGAGACGTGGAGGCTGAAGTAGTATGCTAATTTGAACTAGAGGAAAAATTAGCAATTTAATTAACAAACGTATCTACTGTACACCTGGGGCACCCTGTGTTTGAGACATGCATACTTTAGCACTTCATGTCCCCTCGCTGTCATCAAACCCTTAAGGAGCTCACAATTACCATCACAATGTAATTTAATATGTTTATTCATTAAAAAGTCTGTTTTATTTATACAAAAATATTCTCTGCAAATAGTAAAGCTTTAATAATGTACTGTACTAGCTATAAAATAAAAGCTACATAATTATGTAGTGCATGACACTCTGAGGTGTCTCTATGACGATATATTAGGGCCACAGTTATGGGGTAAAAGAGATTTTGAAGATAAAGCCAAAATATTTTGATGAAAAGCCATAATATTCTGAAAATAAAGTTGACCAGAAAAAAAGTTAAAAAAAATTTGAATTCATTGGTTTAGAGAAAGGAAATCGTAATTGAGAACAAAGTTTATACAAAAAAAGGATTTCAACAATAAAGTTGAGAATGTACAATAATAAAAAATATTAAAAATATATTTATCAGAAAAACATGAAAGTGAAAAATATAGAATTTCTGAAATTGTAATTTCTTTCTTGTAATTAAGACATTTTTAAACAATTTGAAATGACCACTATATTAAAAAAAAATACAACTTAATTCTCAAAATATTATGAATTATTTCTCATTATTATAACTTATTCTGAAAATCTTTGGTATTTTTTCCTAACAGTGGCCCTAATACTGTCGTATCTATAGCTTCACTGTAAAACCAGGTGGACTCTTCAGTCCGTCCTCGGCCTGTCTTTGTTTCCCTCCCCCTTCCCTCTCTTCTGTCGCAGGTAGAGTCTGTTAGCTTTCCTCAGCAGCAGGATAAACCAGTATATCTGTGGAGCCAGGATCACCAGATTCCCCACATTGCACTGCAGAGGCAGATGGAAGGCCACTCTGTGCAGGGGAATCCCAAACTGCCGACCGTACATCCAGTACATGAAGGGGAAGATGAGAATCCGGCACACAAAGAAGCTCAAGATCACAATGATGCCGTTGATTCTGTGCAGCCTGGTGTCATCGAGGCCCAGCTGGTTGTCAGGGGACGTGTTGGGGGTGAAACAGGAGAGACGGAAAGAAGGTGAACAGGAATCTTCATTACAACACACACTGATGGCTGTCAAAGATAACACATGCAGATGTTTCAGATCTCAACCCAACTGAACACCTATGGGAGATTTTGAAGTAAGCTCCTTTTTTGGGGGGCTTTTATTGTCTTTATGATAGTGACAGACATGAAAGGGGGGTAGAGAGAGGGGATGACACGCAGCAAAGGGCCTGACAAATTGAAGACAATTTAACTTGGAAAATCATAATTTCACATTAAAATGCTGTTTACACGTAAATGCATTAGTAGGGAAAAATCTCTTATATATATTCTATATATATTATTACTTTAATATTACAATGACGTGTAGTTAATATAAAAATACTCCAACAGGTTCCACTCTCTTTGTAGGGTGATTAGGATGGTTTACCTGGATGAGAATCTTTCCTATAGAGACGAAAGGAGTGCTGAACTCTGTTGTGAACATGCAGCCGATGAAGAAATCCCCCAGTCCTCTCCTGAAAAACTGCAAATCAAACACAGTGCCCAGTCAGCAGACTCCGTACCAGGCAGCCAGTGCGTGTTACCAAACAGATCAATCACATCAATAAACACACTGCGAGTATGACAGGGATTCCTCGCCATACTCACAAGAGCAATGGGCATGAAGATGAGAAGCAGGACCAGGTGATGGAAGACCAACATCCTGTCCTTCACGAGGAAAGCCTTCACTGTCTGAAGAGAGTGGCTGCTGTATGACCTGGAATCCCCTCTGACCCTCTGAGTGTGGAAGTGGCTCAGATACATGGCGTAGATGTCGTAGGCCATGTAGGGAGCTCCGAACATAATAAACCCATTGACCAGCCAGTGACTGTGTGAGACAGCAACAATAACACGCAGACAATAAACAGGGTGTGAAAAGTAAACTGACTGTAATGTATTGTCTGTTGGTCTGCCACAAAAAGACTTACTGTGTTAACTGGTTCGCTGATTTTAATTACGTTAGTATGAGATCACTGAGTGTAAATGCTGTTTGTGGTAAAAACTCTTTCAGAGGTAACTCTTACGTGTCATTCATGGTGTCCCTGCAGGATGTCACAACTGTGACTCCAGCTGCTGTAGCCAGAGATCCATGGATGGCAGACACCAGCCTGGAGAAAGAGAGTCGGCCAATGGCAATACTTTGTCATACACAAAAATAAAACTAATAAATAATTACACCAAACTCCATTTAAAGTACACGTTAGTTTATTTGTTTTCTTGCTTATCGGCAACATTGTATACATCATAAAAGATTACTTAAATACATAACCTCTCAGAGGTAGAATTTGTCTTCGGCCGACATATTGCACACATATGACCCAATAATTGAGTGAAATTTCAGCCTTTCATACAGCTCATAACACCGCCCCCAATGTGTTTGAGGAAGAGAACGACTTTCTCAAAAAAGCTTTACTGAAACAAGCTCCTGGTTTATTCTATCAGTGCCGAATTGACCATGTCTTTTTATAAACTAATATAAAATAGTAAATGGACCTCCACAACGTATGTAACGTTAGATTGATAAGAAAAGCAAGACAACATTAAAGTGCCGTATGTCTGAAAGGAGTTCGGTGAGGTGAGCGGCTCGTGTCGGTGCTGCTGACCTCTCACTGACACAAAGCACGTCGGCATCAGTCCACTGAGTGAAAGTGTGTTTCAGTACTCTCCTGAAGCTGTAGAAAAGACCCGGGAACACCACAGCTCCGCACACCAAGGCAGTGAACATTATCTTAGCCGACCTCTTCCTCAGTCAGTAAAGGTTAGACAGCTCCAGTTACAACAGGAGCTAATGTGGCTAACGACAGCCGACAGCGACGTTAAACGGACGGATTGATAAGAGGGTTGGACGAGGGCGCTTTGGACCAATAGCAAGGATTGACCTAAAATAACCTTCCATTGTTTTCATATTGAATTCATGTAACAATAACTGTATTGTTGTAATTGCACATTATTCGGAATATTGATGAACAGGTATTTTAATTTTAGTTTTACTTTAGTATGTTAGAGTTGCTTTTAATCTAATGGCAGATTCTGTTGCAGTAGGTTTCCCTCCCACTTCCTGTATTTTCATATTTGCTCGTTGTTTATATTGTTTTATTGTGCTCTTATGCTAATAAATGTTCATCTTACCTCCATGGAACAATGATGACAGTGAAGACTCATTGGAAAATTGTATATTCAAACTCTTCTTCCTGGTTTCCTAGCAGGTTAATTTGACAATTCGAACATCAACCTTATAAAATAAATGTGTGTTTCAGAAAGGAAAGATTTTTCTAAATGATTTAAATAAAGGTGGTAAGATGGTTAAACAGACAACTAAACTTGAGGTAAGATGAACAGACAACGGACCAAGATGTAAGACCTTCTCTCAGACATGGATTTCACTTTATTATATAATAAACAACTACAGACTTTCATATGCATGATTTCAAATATAAATCCAAAATATACAGCCACCAACGTGCAGATTTAAAAAAAAAGGAAAAAAAGAAATCATTATCTCACACACTTTTCATACACACTGCCCTCCAGTGGCACTGTGCTGGATCAAAATTCAAAGGTGGCTAAAGGAATCTGATATACCCGAAGGAAACCAACACAGACAGGGAGCTCAAGCCAACTCCACACGCAAAGACCCAGCTGGAGCCAGCCGGTTCAAACCTGGAACCTGTTGCTGTGAGGCCACAGTGCTAACCAGCATCAACGTCCTCCATGGACTAATATGAACTGCAGAATTTAAATCTGTCATAAAACAGTATTGTACAGTAGAAATATTAACTGCATAAGCCAGTGACAAGTACAAGACATATTCCAATAGATTGGAATCAACAATAATTGTAATAAAGACAGATATATATGAGATATTGTCTAACAAATGGCAAGTAAATATAATGTCTCACCACACTTTATTTCTTTATTGTCTATGATATTTCATATAATGATATTTTTATCATTTCTAAAGGTGCTCCACCATCTCCAGTAGCCGATTTACTTGAGTATCATCTCCTGTATTTGTATCAAACACATGATGCCGGAGGCCACATCTGTCCAGCACCCACTGCAGAGGCTCTCCCTTCTCCTCGATGTGTCTCTCCACTGTCCTCCCTCTCAGCTCCTCTCCATAGGTGAACAGCACCACGGTTCTTGTCCACACATCGTCCCCCAAAGTGCTGAGGTACGTCTCCACAGCTCTCCTGTCTCTCTCTTTGAACGAGCCCACCGGCACAGCCAGCAGGAAACACACTTTGCTCCTCACAGGGCAGAGGGAAGGGCTCCGGCTGATCTCCGTCCTGACCTGCTCGGGGTTGGCCAGGCCAAACAGACTCCACCCGGGGGTGTCCACCACCGTGACGGGCCGCCCGGATACTTTTCCATGGCCGACAGAGCACCTGGTGGTCTTACGGGTGATCTGAAACTCTTCTCTGTCCAGGATCATGTTGCCTGCTGTGCTCTTCCCTGACTTCCTCCTTCCCAGCAGGATGAGGCTAAGAGCAGGATTAAAACCAACCTGCCCTGCTGGGGATCCTGTAATTTATATTTTAAACACATATTACATGTCAGTTGTTAACATTATTGTGGGCAAAATTAATTCCTACCTACCTTGGGGCATATGCATCCATCCTGAGGCCACTTGCTTCCTTTCTCTTGGCTTCCCATCATGCACATCATGCAGCACTGTCAATTCTATCTCCTCTTGTCTTCCCTGCCACCTTCTCTCCCCGTTCATGCTCAGATCTCGTCTCAGTTGGGTGTACATCCTGTCCTGGATCTCTTTGGGACGTTTGTTAGCCTCCATCATCCTTTGGATCTTCTCAATGAGCTCTGTAACCTGAGCCTCTGAGGCCCTGGGGTTGGTCATAACCTGGTATCTGTTCCCACATCGCTCCAGCAGCCAATGGAGGGTCCGACCTTGTTGCCTTATGTGCTCCTGGATAGGCAGGCCTCCTGTGGCAGAAATAACCTTATTGGTTGAGTTACACCTCAATGGATGGAGCCAAAGAACCATCATTTTAGTAGTAAGTGAACAACAGCTAAATGCTAACATCAGCATGCTAACATGCTCCCAATGACAATGCTAACATGCTGATGTTTCCAGCCAGTATATGTTTTACCATGTTTACTGTTACTGTTTAGTGTGTTAGCATGCTAACATTTGCTGATTAGCACTAAAAACAAAGTACAGCTGAGGCCGATGGGAATTTTATTAGGGACCGAGCCAGTTACCGCTGAAGGTCCCTATTGTATTTGCCTTATTGTTCTTCTGTATTATGTATTTTTTAGCGCCTTTGACATGCGTTTTTGCCCCCTGATACATGATACGAGAAAGCTCAATGTTTATATTGGCAAAGTGGTCAGGCCTGGTCCATAAACTACTTTTTCGTGTTCCTCCTATGCGCTTTGTCCGATTTGCACGAAATTTTTCACGTAGCACCTGGGGACCGTCCTGGCAAAAAAAGTAATTTGAAGAATTTTGATATTTCAAAAAATAAGCACGCTATAAAATTAGCACTTCCTGTAGATTTTTCGTCAAAAAAGGAAGTGGACCATTTCTCCACATTGGTATGTCCGATTGACACCAAGCTTGGGTCCATAGTTCCCCATGTCTTCCTTAGGCATCGTGCACAATTTCAGGCCATCGCCACAAGGTGGTGCTCTTTAAAATGAAGAAGTTTATATCTCC